CACTGTAGCAAGAAAGTAGCTGTTGTGCATAGTGATTTTTGGAAAGAAAGAAAAAAATTTCTAAAATATAAAAGAAAGCTATGTAAACAAATGGGTAGATGTGGCTGCGTTCCGACAAAACTTTCTGTGTGGACACTGAAATTGCAATTTCATATAATTTTCACATGTCATGAAATATTCTTTTAACTTTTTCCAACCATTTATTTTATTTTTTATTTATTTACGTATTTATTTTGAGACAGAGTCTCACTCAATTGCCCAGGCCAGAGTGCCGTGGCATCAGCCTAGTTCACAGCAACCTCAATCTCCTGGGCTCAAGCAATCCTCCTGCCTCAGCCTCCTGAGTAGCTGGGACTACAGGCATGCGTCACCATGCCCGGCTAATTTTTCTATATATTTTTATTTTATTTATTTATTTTTTTGAGACAGAGTCTCACTTTGTTGCCCAGGCTAGAGTGAGTGCCGTGGCGTCAGCCTGGCTCACAGTAATCTCAATCTCCCAGGCTCAGCGATCCTACTGCCTCAGCCTCCCGAATAGCTGGGACTACAGGCATGCGCCACCATGCCCGGCTAACTTTTTGTATATATGTTTTAGCTGGTCATTAATTTCTATTTTTGGTAGAGACGGGGTCTCGCTCAGGCTGGTTTCGAACTCCTGACCTTGAGCAATCCGCCTGCCTCGGCCTCCCAAAGTGCTAGGATTACAGGCGTGAGCCACCACGCCCGGCCTCTATATATTTTTAGTTGGCCAATTAATATCTTTCTATTTTTAGTAGAAACAGGGTCTCGATCTTGCTCAGGCTAGTTTTGAACTCCTGACCTTTAGTGAGCCTCCTCTTTGGCCTCCCAGAGTGCCAGGATTACAGGTGTGAGCCACAGTGCCCATCCCTTTTTGCCAACCATTTAAAAATATAAAAACTATTCTCAGCTTGTAGGCCAATAAAACAGGCAACAGTCAGCGAGCCATAGCTTGCCAGCCCTGAGCTGAGTGCTCCACAGGCAAGACCATGGAGAATGCCATGTCCTGTCTTGTCCTGTCTGTGCCAATAACTCTAGATTCAAGGCCTTTGGCAAGGCTTAGCGGGGAGGAGGGGAGGCCTCCAAGCCCCCTGCAGCTTAACAACTGCAGCCCTCCTAGACTCTTCCCTCCCAATGCCACATGTTCTCTGTGGTTTAGATATGGGAACTCTTAGGTTTCCTATAGAATCAGAAGCTTTTTTGATGGCAAGAACATTACTATTTAAGCATTTGGAGTCAGAAAGGACCTGGGTTCAAATACCAGCTTGACCACCCCTTAGCTGAATGGTCTTAGGTGAGTTACTTAATGTCCCTGTGCCTCAGTTTCCTCATATGCAGTACCTCCTTCATAGGTTATTTATTTATTTATTTGAGACAGAGTCTCACTTTTGTTGCCCGGGCTAGAATGCCATGGCATCAGCTTAACTCTCAGCAACCTCAAACTCCTGGGCTCAAGCGATCCTTCTGCCTCAGCCTCCCAAGTAGCTGGGACTACAGGTATGCATCACCATGCCTGGCTAATTATATATATATATTAGTATATATATTATATATATATAATATTTAGTTTTTGGCAATTCTTTATTTATAGTAGAGATGGGGTCTCGCTCTTGCTCAGGCTGGTTTTGAACTCCTGACCTTGAGCAATCCACCCACCTTGGCCTCCCAGAGTGCTAGGATTACAGGCATGAGCCACTGCGCCCAGACCCTCATAGGTTATTGAGAGCATGAAGGAGTCTACACATGCATGTGCAGTGCCCAGACAGGTGCCTAAGTGGAGGCACTTGGTCAGTGCTTGTGGACTGTCCTCACAGTTCCTTCTCCCCACCCCACCCCAGAACCCAGCATGGCTCTGGACACACAGTGCATGCTCAGTCTCTCCTTGCCAAGTCTGAACTTCCAGAATAAGAGAAAAAGCCCTCTGGCTCCTGACCTAGGACCCCCGAAGAGTCCATACATACCCTGAGCTCCTGGGAGGCTTTGCCCTTTGGACTTAGCTTGGAGCATTTCCCCTTTGGATTCTTTCCCCCTGGCAAAATGATCCACTTGTCTCTTCCAAACCAGCCCACATGGATGCCTAGGCTTATGAGTATGTTCACATGGAGAGTTCTTGGCTAGTTATGCTCCAGGGATGAGCTATGGAGGAGGAGGCAGGCTGCTTGGCTGGGGATAAAGGAAGTGAGAGCCCACCTCATCTGCCAGCCCATGGTCCATAGGGGTGGGCAGGCTGCCTGGGTCAAGGCCTGGAGCATCTCAGCCATTATGCCAAATACCTTGACTCTGCAGTTCTTTATTTATTCTCCAAGTTTACTCCTCCCCTAGCTGGGTGCCTGGTTTTCTCTGACTTCCAGAACAGCACCCCTCTTTCTCCTCCATGAGCCTTTATTAACTTATACGGTCTCATTCTTTCATAGCACTTATTCCTATGTAAAATTTTATTATTTGTTTATTAGGGTTTTTCTCTCTCCTTCCACTAGAATTTGAGCTCCTTGAGGGCTAGACATGTATGATACAATCCTTATAACTAACCTTACAGGACAGATAATGTCCCTATTTAATAGTTGAAAATACTGAGAAAATAGTTGAAAAAACTATTTTCAAAAAGTTGAAAATAAATCACCCAGTTAATGAGTGGCAGAATGAGGATCCCAGGCCATTCTAAGCCTCCATACTAAGACAGAGTTCATTTCACCCAGAAAGATGGGGTATATAGGCTTTTAGTCCCACAGTTTGCTTCCAGCAGCAGTAGCAGCAGTAATGTGTCAGGAGGCATTTATGGGAGTCCTGGGAATGTCCCTACCACTATTGCAGGAGGCAAAACAAGGCAGGCTGCACTCCTTGGAGCTCATGGGCTGATTAGATGGAGATACATATTCTAGTCTCTTTACTATAATGCAGACTGTACTAAGAGCTATAAAGGGGTACAAAGTGCTTTAGGTGCACTGTCTTAACCTGCTTGGGCTGCTGTAATAAAATATCATAGACTGGGTGGCTTAAACAACAGAAATATTATTTCTCACAGTGCTGGAGGCTGGAAGTTCCAGATCAAGGCACCAGCCAGTTTGGTTCCTAGTGAGTGACCTCTTCCTGGGTTGCAGATAGCTACTTTCTTGGTGTATCCTCACAGAGTGGACAGAAAGATCATCTTTCTCATATCTCTTTTTATAAGGGCACTAATCCCATTATGAGGGCACTACCTTCTTGACCTAATTACCTCCCAAAGGCCCCACTTCCTAAAACCATCACAGTGGGTATTAGGCTTTAACATATATATTTTGAAGGGAACACAAACATTTAGGTCCATAGCAGGTGCTAACTGTGGGTAGTCAGGAAAGTCAGGACAGTGGGGCCTGGGAGGGTAAGAGGTGTTGTCAGGGAAGGCACTTTGAACAGAGAGGGTAGCAGAAGCAAAGACCAATGAGATAGGGCCAGTTTGAGGACAGATAGGACCAGTAAGGACTCCAAATGGCTAGGGCTTAGAGTGTGTTAGGAAAGGATAGTGATGGTGTGAAAGGTAGTGAGAAGGCAGGTTGAGGCCAAATCATGGAAGGCCTAAAAGAGATTGAAAAAGATTGGACTTCCATGGCCATATGTGGTGGCTCACTCCTGTACACTGGGAGGCACTCTGGGAGGCTGAGGTGGGAGAATCACTTGAGATCAGAAGTTCGAGACCAGTTCCAGCAAGAGCAAGACCTCATCTCTACAAAAAACAAAATTAGCCAGGCATGGTGGCACATGCCTGTAGTCCATGTATTTGGAGGGCTGAGGCAGGAGGATGGCTCAAGCCCAGGAGTTTGAGGTTACAGTGAGCTACGATGAGGCCACTGCACTCTATCCAGGGCGACAGAGTGAGACCTTGTCTCAAAAAAATAAAATAGGCCGGGCGCGGTGGCTCATGCCTGTAATCCTAGCTCTCTGGGAGGCTGAGGCGGGTGGATTGCTCGAGGTCAGGAGTTCGAAACCAGCCTGAGCAAGAGCGAGACCCGTCTCTACTATAAATAGAAAGAAATTAATTGGCCAACTATATATATAGAAAAAATTAGCCGGCATGGTGGTGAATGCCTGTAGTCCCAGCTACTTGGGAGGCTGAGGCAGGAGGATTGCTTGAGCCAGGAGTTTGAGGTTGCTGTGAGCGAGGCTGACACCACGGCACTCACTCTAGCCTGGGCAGCAAAGCGAGACTCTGTCTCAAAAATAAATAAAATAAAATAAAATAAAATAAAATATTGGGCTTCCTGTGGCCTACACAGTTGATAATAAGAACACCCACAGAACAACAGCTGATTGTGTATGTTGGGCTTTACATCTCACAAAGCACTTCTGGTCCATTCTTCCACTCTACCCTCACAATTCCTAGCATGCAGGCTAGAGCAGCAAGTTTAGAATCAGAAGGGATCCACTGGGATCCACACTATCCAGGACAGTTGTGTAGATTTGAACAAGTCACTTCCCATCTCCAAGGCTCACTTTGCTTATCTCTGACAACAGGGCGTGTTCTCCCAGCTTCAGGAAGGATTTCACAAAATCATGTACGTGATAATGCTCTATTTAACTTCTAGTCCTCAGTATTTTCTCTGTAAAATGGGACAATTCCTACCCAATCTAATTCAGAGAGGGGTGGCTGCAATTCTGTACGCAAGGATGCCTGCAAGAAACTTATTAAGCAGGCCAGAGAGTTCATTCCCCTTTTGGCAGCTGAGGCCAGGGAAGTTGGTGTTTCTTGGTTGGTGGCTGAAAGCTTCAGAGCTTCAGGGCTTTCGCTACTTTAACAGTGTCTCTTAGCAATGGCCACAGTATTTAGCTTATTTGGGACAGAAGGGGATACACAGGAATCTCATTATCAAGAAACATAAAGTAGAAGACACTCCAGCGCCCCAGCACAGACAGCCAGAGCCCAGCCCAGTTAAAGGGCCGGAACTTCTCGGGTCCCGCCCCCGCTGTCTCAAGGTGACCAATCAGCAAGCGAGCCCCTTCGTGACGCTATCTTCTCGCGACAAAGCCGGCTGTCTGCGGCGTTTCCCAGTGACAGAGCCGGGGCGCTGAGGCTATGGGCAGCCAGGAGGTGCTGGGCCAGGCGGCCCGGCTGGCCTCCTCCGGTCTCCTCATGCAGGTACTTTCTCTGCCCGGCAGGTCTCAGCTCGTACCGCAGCCGGGATTCGCGGGGAGGCAGCCCTGGGACCCTTGACGGCCCTCCCCGGGGCAGACCCAGTTCCAACGTGGACCCCGATCTAGAGAGTTAGGTAGATAGGAGACCGTGGCCACGGTCACTGAGGGGGTGTCTGGGCCCGGAGTCAGAAGCCTGCATTTAGAGTTTTGGCTTGGTGACTGCAAACAAGCCACTTTCTTTCTATTATATTTCCCTTATGGCAATTGGAGAGGGTTAGATAAGGTGGCAGGGTGGGGTGGGAGGTTTCTTATTTTGTGCTCGAGAATCTGATTTTTTTTTTTTTTACTTTTTTCTTTTCTTTTTTTAAATTACATATCAGTAGAATCATTACACGACAAGAGAATCTGATATTTTTAAGGCAAGGGGTTCATTTCCTTCATATCCCACTCCTGACCCTCAAACTCTCTGACCCCTGCTGAGTTCAGGAAGGCCATATGGCATAGCTAAGAACAGGGATCTGGGCTCAGGCAAGCCTGGAGTGGAACCATGTACTTGCTGCGTGACCCAGGCCCAGCGACTTCACTTGCGGAATCTCATTTCCTCATTGATAAAATGGGATAATAATAGGTAGTACCTAGCTCGTAAGGTTATTGCAAGGATTGATTGGGATCATTCGAATAAAGGCCCTTAACACAGTATTTGGCTCTTAGTATGTACTTAATACATGTTATCTGCATCTTTCTTCTTTTTATATGACTTTGGACAAGTCACTTCCCCTTCTTGGCCCCAATTTTTTGCTATCTGTCAGATATGATACATGCCAGTTGGTCCAAATGGTATCTAAAGATTCTTTAAACCCTGGGAGTTGGTCATTCTGCCTCAAATCGTTCAATTTCTCTCTCGCTGTTGAGCCAATCAACCCAACTTCACACAAGTCCTGAATACACCTTCCCGTTTACCTTGGAGAGGCACGTGGAAGTTAGGAGAAAGAGCCAAGCAGATTTGGGCTCGAACTTGGGTTTTGTCACTTGCTAGATGCCTGCCCTTGGTAAAATCGTTTGACTTCTCTGAGCATGAGTTTCATCTTCAGTGAGAACAATAATGCAGCCTCATATGGTCATTAGGAAGATTAGATGAAATCTTGCCTGTTAAGTGCCTGGCACATTACAAGTACTTAATAAATGTTAGCTTCTTTTATTAGGGTAATAAGGATGTTTTAAATAGTGTAGCAATGAAATGAGATAGTCTATGTAAAGCATGTAGAAGAGTGCCTTACATGTGATATGTACTTAGTAAACGTTAGCAGTTCTCCACCTAACCCTAGGCTTACCTAGGGTTTTGTTTTTTGCTATTTCACAATCCACATAACTGTATAAGTTCAGTGCTTTATCTGCAATGTTGATTTTTCAACCTTTGATAACTTACTACTCAGCAGATTGGCTTCCTGAAAAGAAAACAAGTTGTAGCAGAAAATACATGGGAATCAGGCAGCCCACCTGTAGGGTCAAGCTGGGACATTTGTTTGCTGTGTGACATTGGGCAGATCACTTCACTATGAGTCTTACTTGCCTCCTGTGTATTTACTTGGTTGCTTTTAAGGGTCAAAATAATTAACAGATGTGAAAGAGCTTTTTTAAACTGTAAAGTCCATTACAAAAGTAAATGAAGACTGTGTTGCTAATAACAAGGGCCATTGTGTGAGGCAAATAGTGGGTAGCATGAGCAACCTCAGAGCTTCATTAGCTCAAACCTTTATTCAAAGCAATTAGGAAATACGGATATGGCTGAGACATTAAGTTTCTTAGACAATGATAGCTTTAAAGTTAACATAAATGTATGTATATAGTTTTTTTTAATAGCCATTATCTTTAGGTTTCTTTAGTGTTTTAACTTAGCCTTGAATGCTTTCTCAAATTGTGATGCAGATGCCTCAGGTAACTTTGCAATTACATTTTATTCTGTAAGGATTTGAGAGTCTTAATTCTGAGCCAGCCATGGTGAAAGTATTAATACCTTTTATTTGTATGCATTTTTCAAAAATGCTCTCACCTCTACAATCTCATTTGATCCTTGTACTCAACTCTATGAGATAGGTAGCCTCATTTGACACAGGAAATTGAAGCTTATAAAAATTAGAAAATTGTGGATTTAAGAGCTAAATGGTGAGTTGAGACTCTCAGCTGAGAGCTTTCTTCCATAAGGGTTCCATGAATTGGCTTCAAATCTCTAAAATTAAGTACAGAATTAGGTTTGTATTCCTGCGTTTTTATAAAGGCTACAGAGCTTTTATTAGACCCTCAAAAGATCACCTTTGACTCCATAAAGGTTAAGATGGTGATCTCTTAACTTTGGACACTTTGCTGCTCTGTGACACTTTAGGGACAGTGTTACTGCACTCTTTTTAATTATATCTCTCCCCAGATAATTTTAAGCCATCGTAGTCCATTGGCATACTTTGATTGAATCTTCCAAATTGCAGCTGTTCACAGTTAACCCTGAGGGTGCTTAACACAAGTAATTTGTCATTTGCTGCTGAAATGCAGGAGGGAGTCACTTAGTGAGTGAGGCTTAGCACCCTACTCAACATCCCCATTTACCAACCCCATTTAATTGCAACTTTGTTGTTCTCTATGTCTCATGGGAAGAATTCTTTGCATAGGTGGTTTTCTTTTTCTTTTTCTGAGAGAGTTTCGCTCTGTCACCTGGGCTAGAGTGCTGTGGAGTTAGTCTAGCTCACAGTAACCTCAAACTGGGCTCAAGCAATTCTTCTGCCTCAGCCTCCTGGGTAGCTGGGATTATAGGCATGTGCCACCATGCTTGGCTAATTTTTCTATTTTAGTAGAGACGGGGTCTTGCTCTTGCTCAGGCTGGTCTTGAACTCCTGAGCTCAAATGATCCTTCTGCCTCGGGCTCCCAGAGTGCTAGGAGTACAGGCATGAGCCACTGTGCCCCTGGCCTAGGTGGTTTTCTTTAACTGACAAGTTTGAAAGTCTCCATGCCTTTCAAATGGCAATAGCTGGACTCTGTCTCCCTTTCCCCCCATTTGATATTATCTTATTGTAGTTGTCATTTAAAAGGTATTTCAACTCCTCTCTGGAAAGAAGAAATTATATAATAAAGAAGTACAACATTTTCTGTTTTCCAGTTGAGAAAACTGAAGTTCAAAGAGATTAAATGTCATTCTTGGAATTCCTAGAAATTTTCAGGCAGACACGTAAGAGAATTTAGACCCCATGATCCCTAGTGAGTCTGCTATACCCTGAAGGCTCCCACTTGCTAAGTGTGTGCTATTTCTAAACAGTCTGGAGGGTTTCACTTAGGAGGCTGGGCAATATGAACCACTAATTAGAATTCTCTTTCTGCCTCCTGGAGTACTTGACTTTGAACCTGAAGAAACTCTGAATCTATCAGGACCTCCCTCTTCTTATCAGTAAATTGGGGAAACTTCCAAGGGCCTTCTTGGGTTGTTTGACCACTGCACAAGAGTGCTGAGAGACCCCAAGGAATGAAATTTCAGGAGAAATGCCAACAAATTGAGCATCTTAAAAGAGTCTCCACGGAAAAACTGCTGTATATCATTACATCACATTAGGAAGAGCAGCCACATTGTTTTCATTTCAGCAAAGTAAATATTCCTAACATTATTTATTCCTATGTATTTTTCTCCTTTTTCTATAGGTGTTATTTCGATTGATCACCTTTGTCTTGAATGCATTTATCCTTCGTTTCCTGTCCAAGGAAATTGTTGGTGTAGTGAATGTAAGGTGAGAGGGGATGCTCCCTGGCGCTGCTCACAGCTCATGTCCCTAGTCAGGTTTTCTTCACACTCTCTACCTGTGTGTCACTCTCAGATTTTAGAAGCATGGACTTCTATCAGAAGCAGAGTGTTCTAGCAGTGTGCTGAGGAGGAGTGTGCAGGGGTGTGGGATGAGCCGGTGATGTTGTTTTTAATGGACTCATGGAGTGTTTTCCATTAGCAGCCCCCAAATGCACATTTCTCTCCCTGCTGTTCTGGTTTTCCTACTCTTAGAACCCAGGAGAAGAGTGGGAGTAATTCATTGCAAACCCCATCTCAAGTATAATATAACTCCGTGTTCTTGTGCTGCTGACAGCAAAGGAAGCAGAAATTCTGCAGTCTGTGAGGATGTGCTTCATAATTGCAGGGCTGGAGCAGCCCCCTTCCTTCCCTTTTCAGTGATTTTATAATTGGGATACGGTAACTGGGATGAGAGCTTGAGTCCTTGTCATTAGTTCCTTGGAGGCTCTTGGAAAGCTGACTTGCTTGTCTTTTAGACTCAGCTTATTTCTTCTGCTCTCCTCCTTTCTGTTCAAGGACACCCACACATATTTTGTATTTGCAAGTGACACAAAGTATATGAAATGATGTGAGTGCTCAGAATAGCTCAGCTTCTCAGGTGTGTCTTCATGCCCTGATAAACAAGACAGTATGTTCTAGACAGCATTTCGTGTCTAATACTTACCACTCATATGCTCTTGGCTCTGTTCTCAGAGCTTAGTGGCAGTTCTCAAACTTTGAGGGGCAAAGGAGTCATCTGATGAACTTTGCATGAGGTAAGGCTGAAGATGGGCCCAAGAATCTGCATTTTTACAAGCTCCTCAGATAATTTTGAAGCAGGAATCATACTTTGAGAAATACTGCTTTAAAAGCAGGAAGGAAGAGGGCCAAATCCTCTTAGGGGCTCAAATTTTTCTCTCCGTGCAGCTTTCCGGAGATTGGCAGGTCCCTGTTTGACAGCCCTTGTCTGGCCTGCCCCCTTGCTTAAGGTGTGGCTCTGTCTCCTCATTTGCAATGTTCCACAGAGGCACTAGGAAGCTAGATGATCCTTGGACAACCTCAGAGACCTGAACCCTGGACCATCCCCACTCTGGTTTCATCCGGGCCACTGCCTGTTGATGAAGGGGAACCTCAGCTGCTCCTCGCTAAGGTGCAGGAAGGTTCACCCAGGTGCTGCCCACCGAGGAGCTACCCGGACAAGCCTTGCTGATCCGGGTTGCAGCAGCCTCTGTAATGGTTTCCAGCCTTTTGCCTGTCTTGTGAGTCTTTTGGCCAGAACTTCTACTTAGTAGAGCCTCAGCTTTTCTCACAGGGCTGTCAAGTCACTAGTTTCACCCTTTCGGCTGGAGCCGCCATCTTCCAGTAATTGCCATAATGACAAACACAAAGAGAAAGAGGAGAGGCACCCGATACATGTTCTCTAGACCTTTTAGAAAACATGGAGTTGTTCCTTTGGCCACATACATGCAAATCTACAAGAAAGGTGATATTATAGACATCAAGGGAATGGGTACTGTTCAAAAAGGCATGCCCCACAAATGTTACCACGGCAAAACTGGAAGAGTCTACAACGTTACCCAGCATGCTGTTGGAATTGTTGTAAATAAACAAGTTAAGGGCAAGATTCTTGCCAAGAGGATTAATGTGCATATTGAGCACATTAAGCACTGTAAGAGCCGAGTTAGCTTCCTGAAACATGTGAAGGAAAATGATCAGAAAAAGAAGGAAGCCAAAGAGAAAGGTACCTGCATTCAACTGAAGTGACAGCCTGCTCTACCCAGAGAAGCACACTTTGTGAGGATCAGTGGAAAGGAGCCTGAGCTGCTGGAACCTATTCCCTATGAATTAATGGCATAATAGGTGTCTCACACTTTGTGAGGAGCGACAGAAAGGAGCCTGAGGTGCTGGGACCTGTTCCCTATGAATTCATAGTGTAATAGGCATAGCACACCTGTGAGAAGCAAAGAAAGGACCTTAAGCTGCCAGAACCCATTCCCTATGAATTCATGGTATAGGAGACAAACCTAATAAAAGCCACTGGACTATTAAAAAAAAAAAGTTCCTTGTTTTCGTTTTGCCCAAAGGTTCCTTTTGTTTTTTGGGTTCTTGTTTTTTTCTTTTTTTCTTCTTCTTGTTCTAGCCACACCTCTGCCTATATCCATGAAGGCTGCAGGCTTTGGGGGGCCACTGCAGTAGTTTCTATCCCCAAAGTAACTGTAGACATGCACACTCAGGTATCCCTTGTTAGGATCCTAATTTTGTTCTCATGAATCGGACTGGCGGGGGTTCCTGTAAGAGCCCTCTGCCCTCCACATCACCACCAGTGGTTTCTGACTAAGACTCTGACTATCTCCTCCCTGTTGCTGGAAAAAAATCTCAGTTCTCTCTATGAAAAAACTAAAGGCTTTATTGATTTCTGCTTTTCCTTTACAGGCTAACACTACTTTACTCGACCACCATCTTCCTGGCTAGAGAGGCCTTCCGTAGAGCATGTTTAAGTGGGGGCGCCCAGCAAGACTGGAGCCAGACCCTCAACCTTGTGTGGCTCACGTGAGTTGTGCTTTGGCAAGAAACAAGTCTAGTGAGTGTAATGAGTGCTATAAATGAAACAGCAACACCTGCCTAAAGCTGACGTGTGTCCAGATTTGGCTTTGCAGTGGGTTTCTAGGGGCTAGGCGTGCAACAGGAAGGACAGAGTGTCTGTGTTGAAGGAGCTTTTTGTTTGTTTGTTTGTTTGTTTGTTTGTTTGTTTGTTTGTTTTGGGGAGACAGAGTCTTGCTCTGTTGCCCAGGCTAGAGTGCTGTGGCGTCAGCCTTGCTCACAGCAACCTCAAACTCCTAGGCTCAAGCGATCCTCCTGCCTCGGCCTCCTAGAGTGCTAGGATTACAGGCGTGAGCCACCATGCCCAGCCTGAAGGAGCTTCTCATTTCGTTTTCTCTCTGGATGTCCAGGAACCAGGAGGATGCTGTGGATTGGGGTTTCTGGGCCAGGTTTCTAGCTCCCCTTTGGAGGTCATTTCTGCTGATCGTCACTGGTGCCCATTTGGCCTGTGCCATCTTTTTTATTCCTAATCTTTTTGCCCTATAGTGTCTTTTGAGCTTTTAACAATCACTTGTATTTTTTTGAAAGCCTTTTAGAGGTTTTCTTATATCTCTCTTCAATTTTGTGTGATTTCAGTTCTGGGTCTTTTAGAATAGTCTTGAAGGCCAAGTACATCAGCCAAAAATTGTAATGGCTTTTCTCCAGCTAGATCCTGTGGGGAGGGCTGGTGGTTGAGGTTGTTTTCTGATGCTACCCTTGCATAACTCCTTATTGCCTCACAGAAATGACTGTGATAGGGCTGCTAGATGTTTATTTTATTAGAGGAATGGCTGTTAACCACCCAGTCATATTTAAGTGCTCTATGGTACACATTTGGTTTTGCTTGTGAAAGGATCTGAGCACTGGTCTGTTGGTTGTTTGGATTGCAAGAACCAGCCACATACTGTCAGTCATTCTAAGCACAGACAACAGGTGTTTTCTTTCTGGGAATTTTGCTTGTCAAGTCAGTATGTATAACCCAGTGGACAGAAGTGTAGGCGTTGGAGCTACAGCAGGATTGGATCCTGCTATTGCCCTTGATTAGCTGTTCCTGCCCTTGGCCAAATTGCCCAGCGCCTGACAGCCTCAGTTTCCTCATCTTTTAAATGGGGATGACAGAGGATCATTGCAAGGTGTCAGTGAAATAAAGGGTGTGAATTGGAGTGCCTGGCATGTAGTTAGTGCCTTAATAAGCAGTAGCTATTTTCATTATGACTGCGTTTTTTTCTGTTCAGTGTTAGTATTTTAATGTTTAATATTTATTTTCAAATTTAATGAAACATTTTTTCCTTTCTTCCAGAGTCCCTCTTGGTGTATTTTGGTCTTTGTTCTTGGGCTGGGTCTGGTTGCAGTTGCTCGAAGTGCCCGATCCTGATGTTATCCCCCACTACAGAACTGGAGTGGTGCTGTTTGGTCTCTCGGCAGTGGTGGAGCTTCTAGGAGAGCCCTTCTGGGTCTTGGCACAAGCACATATGTTCATCAAGCTTAAGGTCAGTGTGCCTTCTGCTGTGAATGGGAAATGTGAAGAATAGGGGAAAATGTGATTTTTAAAAAATGCTTTTATAGGTAAGAATGAGTTTTCCAGACTGCATCTAAAAAAGTATTTGGGGCTGGGCTCAGTGGCTCACACCTGTAATCCCAACACTTTGGGAAGCCAAGGTGGGCAGATTGAGGCCAGGAGTTGGAGACCAGCCTGAGCAACGTAGTAAGGTCCTGTCTCTAAAGAAAAATTTTTAATTTTAAAATCAGCCAGATGTGATGGCACATGTCTGTAGTGCTAGCTGCTTGGGAGGCTGAGGCAAGAGGATCACTTACACCCAGGAGTTGGAGGCTACAGTAAGCCATGATTGGGCTACTGCATTCTAGGCTGGGCAACAGGTTGGAATATCTCTAAAAAAACAATGTCTCTAGAAAAAATAATTGGAAAAAGGTAACATGATCTGTTAAGTTTATTCACTTGAAATTTGTCAGATGGGCTGGGCTAAAGTTTACCTCTGCTATAGTGTAAATGAAAAACAGGTTTGCTAATAAGGAAGTTATTAGTTCAAATCAGAATTTAGGAATACTGTAAAGATTTTTCATATTTTTCTAGTGATTTTTAGTTGTATACTAATATTTTTCTCTTCATCCTTTAAAATATATTATTGATACATACAAAAGAACATATATAACGTGTAAATCTTAAAGCATAATATACTGAGGATCCATGAATGTACCAGCCCACCCAAGAAGTAAAATATTACTGATACCATGTCTACCCATGTGCCCAGCCCCTACCACTGGGTAACCACTACCCTAGATTTTCTGTTCGGCGTTGCTTTGCATCTTGCTTTTTGATAATGTTTGTAAAGTGTACCTTTACCCTGTATTTGTAGGTGATCACTGAGAGCCTGTCGGTAATCCTTAAGAGTGTCTTGACAGCTTTTCTTGTCTTGTGGGTGCCTCACTGGGGACTGTACATTTTTTCTTTGGCCCAGGTAAGAGTCATGGCTTTCAACTTTTTATATAATCTATGTTTCTCCATTTAGTTTTTCTTGTTCCCACTACTATGTGGTTACATTCTAGTACTCATGCATGTAGCAAAGGCTAAAAGTGCTAGAAGACTGGTCATGACACTGATTCTCTTCTGGCTACCAGGTCCATCCTGTTTCACGCAGTCCCAGGGACCCAGTGAGGGCCACACACTCAGCCTCATTGTCAAACATCAAAAATCAGCCGGGTGCAGTGGCTCACGCCTGTAATCCTAGCACTCTGGGAGGCTGAGGCGGTCGGATAGCTCGAGCTCAGGAGTTCGAAACCAGCCTGAGCAAGAGCGAGACCCCGTCTCTACTATAAATAGAGAATTAATTGGCCAACTAATATATATAAAAAAATTAGCCGGGCATGGTGGCACATGCCTGTAGTCCCAGCTACTTGGGAGGCTGAGGCAGGAGGATTACTTGAGCCCAGGAATCTGAGGTTGCTGTGAGCTAGGCTGACGCCATGGCGCTCACTCTAGTCTGGGCACAAAGAAAAAAAAAACACATCTGGACTTTCAGTGGACAAGCCCATATCAAACTGATCTTTGATTATCTGCCAGTTCAGGAGAGCAGAAGAAAAGCAGTAAGGGAGTGGGGCGAGAACAAGATTGCGTGTGTATTATTTTCCCTGGATTTCAATCCATTGTTTGCAGAATAGGAAGAAACTCTGCTGAGCCTGTTTCAAACTTAGATTGAAATCTCACATAATTTAGTGGGCATGAATCAAGTCAGATCAGGTATATTTTCAGTTTTAGCAATGTTGATTTCATTTCCATCTCATTGTATTCTAGTTCTAGTTCATATTTTTAGTTCTAATAACACTATAATAAAATATAAGTGCTATTTTAAAAAATGAAATTTAAGATGAGATAGTTATCAGAACATCTTACCGTGCAAAGCACTTTGTAGTTTTCATTAATGTATGGGAAGGCAAATTAAGACTTTTAGTAATGATTTATGTGAAAGGGAACTCGTCACAGAGGATGTTGGCATCAGGTGGTGTGGCTCATAGCCGTGCTGCTTGTGTTGTAAGAACCTAAGGCATGAAAGAAGAAGGAGAGTGGATGGTGGACTCAGTCCTTAGGCATGGTTGGGACCAGAGAGCACAGAAGCCTAAACCTGCTAAACTGAGACTCCTCTTTCTCCTGCCATTGCCTTTACTACAGGAAAGCCTTGGTATTGCCCAGTTGAGGACGGGGCCTGGAGGCCCCAGTTCTCCTTGAGCCAGTGTGTGCTGCTGTTCTCGGGAGAGAGAGAGGGTTAGAGGAGCTTGTGAAAGGGGCTTTTTTGGATATTCCTCCTCAACCTGCAAACAAAACCCAGCTGCTGGTCCTGGCCAGAAGCCATTCTTTTGTCCTTGATGGGTATAGGGGGGTGGCCCTTCTTCTTACCCCACCCTTTCCTCCCCATCCTGTAGCAGCTCTTGCCCTGCCTATGCTCTGCGCAGAGAGGAGAGAGCCAGCAGCTCAATTCTGCTTTGTAATCATAAATGTCACAGGTTTCCGGGGTTTATGGAAAATCCACAGTCCTAAATGACCTTAAGTCCCTGGATGGTAGCACAGTCAGGACACGTGGATCTCCACAGTGTGCTGTTTAGGTAGGGGAGCTATTCCTTTGGCCAAATACAAATCCTTTGAGAACTTATCTGATATTGCTGTGGCAGTTGAGCTAGTGGATGTCTGTCATGAAAATTATGTTCTGCCTGCCCAGAAGAACTTATGTTCTCCCAGGTGAGGGAAGTATCGAGAACACTTTTACATGGAGACGCTGCAGTAGAGCTGGGTCTGAGTGAATAATGTTATTTTCCAGAGGGTGAAGCATTGCTCGATAGAAAGTGCAGTTAACCAAGACAGTTCTATTTCTCGATTGGCCTTTGAGGTCAAATTTATAGGCATATCTTCATTATGCCTTTATTAAAACAGTATTTCTTTTTTCAGCTTTTCTATACCACAATTCTGGTTCTCTGCTATGTCATTTATTTCACAAAGTTACTGAGTTCCCCAGAATCAACCAAGCAACAAACTCTTCCTGTCTCCAGAATAACAGATCTGTTACCCAGTATTACAAGAAGTAGAGTAAGTAATACATTTTGTCTCTTATCATTTTTTTTTTATTTTAAAAAAATTATAATTTTTTCTTATTTATATTTTATTTTCATCAGCAGCAAAAGATTCAATAGCCTTTGTCTCTTATCATTTTAATCACAGATTCTGGTTATCCTTAAGAGAAAGAAACTAGAACTGGTTTATGGTTTTAATAGTAAAGGTAATTTTATAGCTCATATTTATTAACACTTGCTATATGCTAGGCCAGGGTTTCTAAATCTTAGCACTCTTGACATTTTAGGCTACACAGTTCTTTATTGTAGGGATGGTCCTGTACATTGTAGGATGTTTAGAAGCATCCCTAATCTCTACCTACTGATGCCAGTAGCAACTATCCCCAGTTTAATACCTAGAAATGTTTCCAGACACTGCCACATGTCCTCTGGGAGACAAAAATTGCCCCCAGTTGAGAACCACTGTGCTAGGCCCTATGCTGAATGCCTTACATCCCTTAGTTAACGTTTACAACTCTAAGGGGGTGACTGTCATTATTTCTATTTTAGGGTTGAGGAGCTAAGGCTTAGTGAATGATACCTGCCCAAGGTGAGGCTTGGAGCCAGGACGGGAGCCTGGAGGGCTCAGATGCCAGCAGAGCACAGGTTCTAACCATTGTGCTCCACTCTCTCTATTCTGCTATGTCAGGTTTTCCCTGGGTTGACCTCTGACACAGACAGTCCGGAGTTCTAGGACAGCAGGGATGACCCCTACCTGGTCTCTTTATCTAGGTGTCAAGCTAATCTTTCAGGTAGTCCACTTTCCCATCTAGACCATCGAGGATTCTAGATGCTAATGTGTGGAATGAAGCATAATCTTTTCTACACTACTCCTTCCCTCTCAGTCCACTGGATTGTGTCTTCCCGGCTCTTGCGGGGTCAGCGCTGCTGTACACGGCACTGGCTTGTGCACGTGATGACATACCACGTTGCGTCTCCTCGGATGTGTCGTGAGCTGCTCCATTCTGGGCACTTCCCCTTCTTCCCGTGTGTGTTTGCTTGCTGGATGTGGTACACTTAGTTGTGGTAAGGCATCCACCGACTTCTCCTTATTCCTCTTTTGTGATTAGTTGAAAAAAATAGTAAAATATGTGGACTTCAGTCTCAGATTTATGGAATCGTGTTATATAACTTTCTGAAGAAAAAGTAGATATTATGTATTAAAGCCAGATATGTTTTCATTTGTTAGATAAGAGTTCTCCATTCTGATCAGCTAGATCTTACCTTTAACCTAAATTAATGCGACAATTTTAGATACCACTGTGCCCCAACTGCAGGCTCAGATGGTTAGGACTAGGGATTGCTTCTCTTGCCCAGAGCTCCTGCTACCTGCCCATAGGGCAAGTCTCAGCACAGAAAAGTCCCTTCTGTGAGTATTCTCTGGTGCCCAACTATACCAAGCCTGGCAGCTTTTCAGACTGGGCCAGTCCCTATGCTACAGCAGTATTTTGGAAAGGAGCATTTGAATCATTAATATAAGCAAAGAGAGAAGATAATGAAAAAAGTCTGTCAAGTGTTTATTAAACCCTGTGATGGGCTCAGAACTCTGAGCTTCTTTTGCTTGTCAAATGGGGATAATCACAGTACCTCCCTCTTAAGATCATTTTGAGATGGGGCATGTAAGGTGCTTAACATTGTTGCCTGGCACAAGTAGGTATCCCTAAGTGAGAGTTGATATCATCACTGCCATCACACTGCTACTCTGAGAGCAAAGCTGCTCCTTGGGAGCACCCTAGCAAGGCAACACTGATGGCATTGGTCTGAGAGCTCAGCAGTTTAATTTGGCAATCTACCCTGAAAGTGCCCATGCCCCTACTGCCAGGACAGAAGGCCTAATCATGGGAAGGTTGTATGTACCCGTCATACACAGAGGCACTGTTCCTGCTGACAAACAGGAGGACCATGGCCCCATGCTGGGTGCTGTCTGCAGTACAGGCATGTAGAAGAGGTTATTCCCAGGCCTCAGGGAACTTCCTCTGGGTTTGCAAAACACCAGATATAGATCTGAAGCCTACAGGACTCTCTCCAAACCTCAGGGTCTTCATTTTTAAAGTGAGATTGTTGGCCTACATGATCTGTGAGGCCCCCCTGAAGACTTTAGGAGTTCCATGAAAGTGTCTGCACTTTGACAAAGAGCCATTTACAATAACTGCCATTGACTGTGTGCTGTGTTCCGTGTACTACACCAAGCACTTTGCATGGATTTTTGTGTTTAATCCTCATAGTAATCATATGAGATAAATACTTTTGTCTCCATTTTACAGATGAGAAAACTGAGGTTCAGAGGAGTTAAGTAACTGGCCCAAAACAACACAGCTGGTTTTAGACCCACTTCTAACTTCTGTCTGTGGACTAACTAGTCTATGTGATTCACTTCTATGCTATACAGACTTCCAGTAGAAATTGGCTTATTGCCCATAGTAGTTATCTATTTACTTAAAGATTGGGAAGTTCCAGGTAGAACAATTCATTATTCAGCCTTGTTATTTTAAAAAGAGACAAGAAAATAAATGAATCTGAATGCAGTGTATATGACTTTACCATGGCAACACGCCTAACTTAACTCCCTGGAGCAGCTTTCTGCACTGAGGGATCCCTTATTCAAAACTGGCCGAAGAATTATATTCAAAATCAATCTGACCTAATTGCAAGATTTCCCTTTCTGTTATTGTAGAATTCCAACTTCTTTAAAGATAATAATTTAGCCTTTTTTTTTTTTTTTTTTTTGAGACAGTCTCACTCTGTTGCCCTAGAGTGAGTGCCGTGGCGTCAGCCTAGCTCACAGCAACCTCAAACTCCTGGGCTCAAGTGATCCTGCTGCCTCAGCCTCCCAAGTTGCTGAGACTACAGGCATGCGTCCGCCATGCCCGGCTAATTTTTTCTATATATTAGTTGGCCAGTTAATTTCTTTCTATTTAGAGACAGGGTCTCACTCTTGCTCAGGCTGGTTTCGAACTCCTGACCTCGAGCAGTCCACCCGCCTCGGCCTCCCAGAGTGCTAGGATTACAGGCGTGAGCCACCTCGCCCGGCCAATAATTTAGCCTTATAATGAATTAGTGATACCTCAAATATTGGTTGCCTTTTTTATTCATTGACATTTCTGAGGGCTTTAATAGGAGACAGATGCTAATATTTAAGTAAAGCTGAGGGGTTTGACACAGCCAGCATGTGTTAAGCATTGTTATGTGTTAAGCACTATAGTAGGTACCCTGAGTGGGGTCCCTGCTCTCAGGAATTGCATGGTAGTGGGGAGATAGCATGTGTACTCAACTGACTGTACTGCAAGGCAGTCTTTTTAAACATCAAAGAAAGCTTCATGGAGGAAGCTGCTTTTGAGCTGGACCTTCACACATGGGTGGGCAGAGGTGAAATGTGTATGTGTGGTGGAAATGGGCATTCGTGATGGCAGGAAGGAGGAAAATTTGCTTAGGGCCTATTATTAATATATGCCCATCAGTATGTTGCAATTGGGAATGTAGAGATAGCTGGGGTCCTTAGGTTGGCTGGACAGTTGGGGAGCAGAGAGAAAGCAAAAGGTAGAAGGAGGTGATGAAGGGAAGTAAACCTGGCCTGCTGGGCTAGGGCCAGGTGGTAGTGGCTCCAGTGCTGTGGAGTTTGGGCTTAATTCAGGGGCACTAGAACCTAGTGAAAGGTTTTTGAACAGTGCCATGATTTAAATGCCTGTGTTGTGCTTACCATCTGTTAACAGATTTTTAGTATCTCATTTTCTTTCATTTAATCCTCACACCAGGCCAGGCATCATGGTGGCTCACACCTATAATCCTAGCACTTTGGCAGGCTAAAGCGGCAGGATTGCTTGAGCTCAGGAGTTTGAGACCAGCCTGAGCAAGAGTGAGACTCCTTCTCTACTAAAAATAGAAAAACTTAGCTGAACATGGTGGTGCATGCCTGTAGTCCCAACTACTTGGAAGGCTGAGGCAGAAGGATCTCTTGAGCTGAGGAATTTGAGGTTGTAGTGAACTATGATGACACCACTGTACTCCAGCTTGGGTGACAGAGCAAAGCTCTGTCTCAAAAAAAAAAATAAAAAAAAATCCTCACCCCATCTCCATGAGATAGGACTTCTTATCCCATTTTTCAGATGAGAAAACCAAGGCTTAGCAAAGTTAATTGACAATGGCCTTTGCACAGATAAGTGTAGTTTGAGTCCCTGTCTCCAAACTTGACTCTAAAGCTCAAACCTACAATGAGCGGCATCAGCTAAAGAGAAAAAGTTGGAGGCAAAAAAACACAGTAGAAGGCTGTGGCAGTTGTGTAGGTGAGAAGTGATGAGGGCAGGGGGAGGGGGGGATGTGGGAGGACAGGCAAAGCTGGGCAGTCGCTCGCCCTGGAGCAACTGACAGTGGCAGGGAGAGGAAGAGTGCTGTGTGAGGTGGTGGAGGTGATGGAGGGCAGGGGACAGGACTGTGGCCTCACACTCCCTGGTGACTCTTGTCACTGCGGTAAGGATGTGGCTGCCTGGATCATCTTGAGTCAGAAGAGTTTGGGAAGTGGACGAGTGACTCAGGTGAAAGCATGATGAGCCTCTGAGTTCTGATTCCAGACCTTCTGCAGAGTTACTGCCCATCACCTCTCACCATCCAAACCTCAGTGTCTCCATCAATACAGTGAGGCAGTCGAAAGGCTTGTTAGGGAGTTCTGGAGAATTCACAGCCATTTAAACCAGCTCAGCAGTACCAACCTGGCTCTTTTGAACATCCTGAGTGACAAATCCAATGTGAACTTCCATTCTGAATAGAATGGTAAAAGTCCACAGAATATGCTTCCTCCTTTCTACCACTTAGCAGGTGCCTCTCAGGGGAACCCCAGTCTCAGATTGGACTTCCTGCCTCTGTGTCCTAAAGAGCACTTGAGTAAGCAGTGTGGCCCACTCCTTCTGAACCACAGGCCCATTTAAACTGAAGGCATTAGGAGAAAGGAATGCACAGGTAGGAGCTTTCAGATTAGATACACTGTCATGATTTCACTCTTCTAGAGAACTTTTTCTTCAAAGAGCTCAATCATTTTTGCAAATCCATTTACAACCTACTGACAGGTATTCCTCACAAGAGCTTCGTGGGCAAGCTATAACTTTTCGTTTCCTTTGAACAGAGCACATGTACTGCTTCATGGACCCCTCAGAGGACCATGGTAGCATGGGGGCGGGGAGAGTCTGGGAGAGAGAAGGTGCTGTGCCCACATCCCCACGGAAGCCACGCTGGCTGATGATGTGGTCCACAGTGCCCCCTAGTGGTGCGAAGTTAAATGGTGCTCTTTGTTCTAGGGACATGAGATGGTCTGTTTTAAACATCTTGTGGCCCAATTTCCTTTTTATTGGGGAAGATTTACATCTGAGCTAGAGCCACCCTAGCATCTGTTGCAGGCTCAGTAAACCCTGAAGGCAGCACAGTTTGAAAAGGTTCAGGCCTGTCCTCCCAGTATCTGGAAAAAAGATTCAGAAACCAAGGAGTGAGGAGAATGAGGACTAGAAATGATCCTTGTTTTCAGAGGTGCTCTAGACTTGCCCTAGCTTACATAGTAGCCACCAGCCATATGTAGCTATAGAGCATTTTGGAATGTGGCTAGTCTGAATTGAGATGAGCTGTACATGCAAAATACACACTGAATTTCAAAGACTTAATATGAAAAAAATTCTTTTTTTTATGTTGATTACATGTTAAAATGCTAATATTTTGGTTTAATGAAATTTATTAAAATTAATTTCATCTATTTATTTTTCCTGTTCTCTGTGGCTGCTAGAAATTTTATCATTACATTTCTATTGGATAGCATTGCTCTACACAGATGGACTTAGCCAAGAGTAGGGGCCCATGTGATCAAGGCTGGGTCCAGACCTACCCTTCAGCCAACTTCCACAGCTGAGGCCAGCCTTTTGGAGAGGTGGAGAGGGCTTGGCCTTGGTGATTCACCCCTCCCTCCCAAAGAGCCCCTTGAAATCCCACCTCTCAAAAGTCATGACTTTGGATAATCACCGCTTTTCAAAATGCAAGTACCCTAGGATTAAGAGCCTCACCCCTAGACTGGACATTCTGGGATCCTGGATGCCTACAAGATAGAGGAGAGGGCTCTAGAGAGAACTTTGAGGTAGGAAAATAGGAGGTGGAGGACACCGAATCCCCTTGGCTGCCTCACTCTGCATTTTGTGGTCAGCTCTATGGCTGTGAGGCCACCCGTCGCATAGGTTGACTTCTTCCCTATCTCAGTGTGTGCTTGTCCTTAGGAAATGGGCAGTTTTGTGCCCCTGGGAGTTTTAGAAGAGTCATATCAGAAGTATTATTTTTTCCTTTCCTCTGTTGTACCAATTCTGAGTGGTTTACCTAACCTTGGAAGGCTAAATTTCTTTTGAAATACACAAGCACAGTTCCTGTGCATTATGTAAAAGAGCCCTGATGGCTGAACACAGTGTTACAATGTGGGGTATATGGAGTGGAATTTGTTCTGCATCTTGGCATGCGTCAGACAGTTTTTAAGGGAAGAACTGACTGCGAGCTGTGTTAGGCATGGTCAGTGTGTTGTGTGAGCCTCCAAAGGGACAGCAGCGATTCTTTAGAGGTCTCAGTGCATGAATCCTGGGCAGGTCCCTGACAGACTTCGTTTTCATGTTTAGTCGTGAACGTGCTTTCCAGTATGTGTGTGATGTGTTCTGTGTGCTTGATATTAAACGAGGATTCAGTGGGACTATCCAAATTGGGATTTGGGGACCAGAATGAGTTTGCCTCTCATGTAGCATTGTATTCTTAGTCTTGAAATGCTTGGGGATTTTTGCTTTGTTTTATTTTGTTTTCTCCTTCTAGAATTTTGTAAACTGGAAAGAGGCTAAATTGACTTGGAGTTTTTTCAAACAGTCTTTCTTGAAACAGATTTTGACAGAAGGTAAGTAAAAGTCCCTCCGAGCAGTTGGGAGAACATAGCAGAAGGCAGTTTCACAGGAATGCTGATTACCTGCATCCAGGCCACCTGTTTTCTTAAATAGGGAGAGAGAAACTGACATTTATGTAGTTTTGTACTTCACTTAATTTGTCTAATTTAAATCTGTCCACAGCCTTGTAAGAAAGATATTGTCCCCCTTTATTATGAGTGAGGAAACTGAGGGTCTATGCAGTTATAGAACTTCTTCAGGGTTTAATAGTAACAAGAAATAGCTTAATTGGGATCCAAGTCTAACTCCAAAACCCTATTGTATCATTTTAACAAATCTATTATAAAAATATTACATCAGTTACAGAAAACACTTGGAAAATAGAGAAAACTATCCATAATCTCATTATATTATCTTAACTTTTTATCCATTTTCTTCTTTTTTAAATTATTTTAAGTAACAGATTTTCATCATTTTATCTTCTTAAGCAAGTGATAGTTTGGTCTGCCTTCTGGCTTCTGTTCTTCCTGTTTAACAGTGACAGAGGCCTCAGTGCAGGGGGCAAGCAGGTCGCTGAAAGCCCGTCTGTCTAGGTTTTGTATGTTTGTGGGTTGGTTTATTTGCATCCAGCTTTATTTCCAAGAATGAGATTTTAAGGTGGCTATAGGCTGCCGAAGGTAGTAGTTTCTCTCTACATATAAATTTCATGTCTATACATCTATATATCTATTACTGAACTTATTTCTTAATCTTTTTAAAAGTTATCTTTTAATTATAAAAGTATTATAGTCCTGTTACCAAAAAAATTGGAAAACAGAAAAAAGTTACCTATAATCTTAGCATTCTAAAATAACTATTGTTATTATCTTGTAATTTTCTTTCTCCCCCATTTTTATTTTTTGTTGATTGTTTCTCCAGAGGAAGGCAACTCCCGTCATGCCTTGCTTTCCCTGTGTGTGAGCAGAGGAATAAGACCTGGGAAGTGTCTGAGGGCTCTCTGAGCTTTGAGAGCACGTGTTTCTAGCCTGAGCTTGTAACTCTGACATTACCAAAGTGAAACTGTTCCAAGGACTTCTGGGGGAAAGGGAGGGTCAGAAGCCTTGGGAAAGCTGAGTGAACTGCCTGAGCTATACGCTCCTTGAGAGCAGAGCAGGGACTGTGTTGGTCTCCTCTGTCTTGCCACTGGGCCTGGCACATGGCAGCTATTCGATGTGTGTTGTTAATGGAGTAAGAAAAGCAACAACAGAAGGTAGCTGTAGTGAAAGTGTGTATTATGATAGTTCACATTGTTCTCAGAACAAGATAATCAATGGAGTTTTGGAAAGGACAATTGCTAATATGTACTCTTTTTCCTCCTAAGGTTTTAAGAGAAGTTTAAATAGTTTAAGGGAATGGATCCAGTCCAAGTAATGGCCCTAAATTGTTTGTCTGAATTGCAGTCTCTAGACATATATTTGCAGCAGCAGGTTTAAGTTAGCCACACACTAAAGCCTCTAAGCTTGACCTTAATGCAATGCCAGGTGCCTGCTCCACCGCTGGGCCACCCTGGCCTGAGCCACCCTGGATGGCAGAAGGCCATTAGGAACTTCTTAAGGCCTCCGTCTCCATGGCTGTGAAATAAGCAAGTGGCTTGACCAGGACCACCAGATTCTTTATGTCTTTAAAAACTACTGCTCCAGGCTAGGTGTGGTGGCTCACACTTGTAATCCTAGCACTCTGGGAGGCTGAGGCAGGAGGATTACTTAAGCTCAGAAGTTTGAGACCAACCTGAGCAAGAGCGAGATCCTGTCTCTACTAACAATAGAAAAATTAGCCATGCATGGTGGCGCATGTCTGTAGTCCCAGCTACTCGGGAGGCTGAGGCAGGAGGATCGCTTGAGCCCAGGAGTTGGAGGTTGCAGTGAGCTAGGCTGACGCCACGGCACTCTAGCTGGGCTGACAGAGTAAGACTGTGTCTCAAAGAAAGAAAGAAAAAATCTACAGCTCTAAAAATGTTGAAACCACTTTTTGTCAAAGCAAAAATGTATGTACTGTTACCTTCTGCCCCCACATTTCTCGAACACTGTGTGCCACGTGCTGAGAATGCAGAGATGTGTGAATAACAGGTGGTGGCCTCAAGGAGCTCATGCTCTCACCAAGATGCAGACCTTTGCGTGGCTCACTCTTCCCGGGCTGTGAGGGCTGTAGTACTTGGAGACAGGAACTCATTCACAAGTCCCTTGAGCACCCTGTCATTCATTTCCTGGAGCTATGCTAGGAAACCAGTGTCATAGAGATGACTGAGATGTGGTTCCTGCCCTCAGGGAGCTTACCGAATGTGGGAAGGACAGGCCTATTCTGTCAAAGACAGAGAGGTGCTGCAGAGAAGTGGAGGGCCTTGAAGGCTGTAAATTAAAAAGAGAAAGAGAGAGAGGGTCCTGCAGAAAAGTCATTCTAGGTGGTGGGAATACCAAGAGCTGAAGCCCAGAGCCCGCTGTGCCCAGCCTGACTCAGAGCAGCGGAGGGCTCAAACTCTCCGGTAGGTAGGATGTAGCAGAGGATGACAATGTGACGGGGGTGAGGTTGGTGAAGGGAGGCCAAAAGGTAGCTTGAGGTCAGTGTATAAAGGTCTCAAATGCAAAATTAAGGAGCCTGGACTTTTTGCAAACACTAAAGAGCCATTTAAAGGTGTGGTAGCAGGGATTGACCTAAAAGCTATATCTGCAAAAGCCACGACTGTTAGTAGTGAGAGTGGATCAGAGCAGCACAGAGATACAGGCCTGGGAGGACCTGCAGAGATCCCTGCCACACATACAGTGGCAGGGAACTTGTTAGGAAGGCAAGGCCAGAGGAGAGGCTTAGGAGAAGATCATTACTGCTTCTATCCTCTTAATGTTTTCCTTTTTCAGCAAGTTGCCAGAAGGCAAAAATTTCCCCGTTAGGGTGGTAGGCACTATTTAGTGCTCCATCCCCTTAGTGGTCAATGCTTTTAACTCTTGAATAAGAAAATTCATGGAAGCCAAGGGGGTGGGGCTCCAGGCTGGCATCTTCACCTTGAAGGCATTAGACTGTCTTAGATTTCAATCATGAACTCAGGCTCCAGAGCTGCCAGCCTCCAGAGAGCTCTCTCCACCCTGCGAGGAACCTTTTGATGAGCCTATATACATAATGGTGGGCATTTCATTTCACAGATAATTTGTACTCAGATTATCTGACCTCCCTTAAAACTTGGGACAGTTATTTTCATTATTAACGTTTTGGTAATCTCCACATACTTTTTTTAGAACTTATTTTTAGACTTAAAAAACTTTTTTTGTTTGTTTGTTTTGAACTAAGGCTGCTCCAGTATTTTGTTGCTTTTAATGTAACTGGCTTGAAGATTTGTTGTCAGTGAAGCCCTCAACACTTTCCAAAGTGTTACTGGAGATTATTTGAAATCAGCATTAGGACAAGGAACATTCCTTTAACTGATTATCTGATTTTCTCCTGTGAGAATATTCCTCAACTGGAAAAGTTGATAGATGACAAGAGAAAGGAAACTAGAAATGAATGTACATTTGGAATGCTAATTATTTTGCTTTTTCACTTATAGGTGAACGATACATGATGACATTTTTGAATATATTAAATTTTGGCGATCAGGGTAAGGTAAAATTCTGTAGTGTTTTAATTAAAGGTGAATACTGTTAATAGATACTTCTAATATTTTTTTCTTTAGTTTGATACATTTAATGAAATATAACCCTGAAGATTGTAAAAATAATGAATCCTGAAGATTTTAAATTATAGGTCTTTGTAAATGAATGCTACGTGCTAACTATACCCTCTGATGTGACTTGGGTAGCAGGTTTTCTTTTGAGAATCCTGCCCTCTACCCTGCTTTCTGTGCTGATTTTCTGGGGTAGGAGGGGTGCCAGGAGAGGGGAAAAGGGAGCTCACCATCACAACCACAAGAATCTACCCCATGTTTCTGTGGCTGGCTGGTCTTTTTCAGCATTTTCATATTTTTAAAAATATAATCCCAAAGTAATGGATATAAAAATAGAAAAAAATCAACTTTGCGTTAATGACTTTTATAAGAAAGTGCTGGTGATGGAAACATTCTGTATCTTGACTGTATTAATGTGAATATCCTGATTGTAATATTGTATTAACACTGTAGTTTTGCAGGATGTTACCATTTGGGGAAACTGGGTAAAGGGTATATGGGATCTCTCTATTATTTATTATATTTCTCTGTGTATCTACAATTATCTCAAGATAAAGTTTAATTAAAAATATTAAATGAAATGTAACCAAAATCTTTGTACCCTCATAATACCCTGAAATATATATATATATATGTATATGTATATATATACAGGATCACCACAAAAGAAAATATATGTATATTAAATGAGATAAACAATTTTAATAGTGCTGTGAAAATTAAAATAGAGAAATCAGTATGATTGTTGTTTCTTCCTGTTTGTTTTGTAGGTGTGTATGATATAGTGAATAATCTCGGCTCCCTTGTGGCCAGATTAATTTTCCAGCCAATAGAGGAGAGTTTTTATATATTTTTTGCTAAGGTGCTGGAGAGGGAAAAGCATGCCACACTTCAGAAACAGGTAGTGTTGGTTCCTATGTCGTCTCTCAGGTGAATTCTCCCTCTAATTGCAAGACAAATGGATAGGAATGTGGAGGAGCTGATAGGTTTCATTCTCTCTCATTCTGAGTGATGGCAGGATGCAGAGTTCACTCTTCTTTTATGGCCTTCTCCCTTCTCTCTCAGCTTTCCTAACCTCCTTCCCCTTGTCCTTCTCCATGACCTTCCTCTTGACCCAGCCCTCTCACAGCCCTCTACAGCTGTCCCAGTGCAGTGCAGATGCCCTCCCATGGGCCAGTCTTGGGCATAAGAATGAGGTTGCCTCCCCTACCATCTGATTCTCAATAACCGAAGGATGCAGAAGTTGGAGCAAGGCTAACCTAGGGGATGGGAGGAAAGAGTGTGGTCACTGGGTTTTACTCATCACACCAATTGTTTAAGCTTCTTAAGACTGTGACTTGCCTTGAGCTGCATACTGACCAGGAGAATCTACATTCTCTGGTTGGTAAATACAGAAGAGATTTTGTTTTTAGGAACTTCACTTTTTCTAAAACCATTGAAAATGTCTGACTTAGAACTAAAAGTAAGTTAATTTGGTCTCTTACATGCCTTATTAGATATTTTGCAAAATATAGTTTATGCATGATATCTCAAAACGAGCTAATCTTGTTCTCAGTCTGATTTAGAAATATTTTCCTGAGTATACATTGACAGTAACATCAGAGTTTTGAGTAGTCAGGAGAAACACAGAGCTGGCTAGCATATTTGAAAACTTGCTGCCCACTTAATAAATATCAGAGGGCAAAGTGAAGGTACTTGAAACAATTTATCCTAAATGAGTTGAAAACTAAACCTCCCCCATACCACCTAAGGAGATACACACTGTCTTTTCCCCTTCATTTGCTAATTGACACAAAACCAAACATAGGCCCCAGAAAAACAGTATACTTCTCACCCAATAGAAAGAGGGAGAAGGCCAGATCAGAAGGTTTCTTCAGCTCGTGATTCATCGGACTTCTTACCTCTCACCCTGGCCCCAGGAGGACTTTGCTGTGGCTGCCATGGTCTTGGAGTCCCTGCTCAAGCTGGCCCTGCTGGCTGGCCTGACCATCACCGTTTTTGGCTTTGCCTATTCTCAGCTGGCTCTGGATATCTACGGAGGGGCCATGCTTAGCTCAGGATCAGGTACGTGCAAGAGTTTTGCCAGACTTGTTCTAATTGCCAAACTGAAATAGAAGAGTCATGAATTCAAGGACCTGTGCACACACAGTTGCTCTCTGTGTCAGTGTAGGGAAAACTGTCTGGGGGACTGTTCCCCTCAAGTTCAGGTGCTCAAGGTCCAGTCAAGGGCTTTGGCACCAGGGCAATCAGTTCCCCAACCTCACTTGGAGAAGTTATGACTCCTCCCCGCCGTTGGCTTTCCTCTCAGGCCTAGAATGTGTTTTGCCAAGCGCTTCCCTGTGCTCTCTCTGGGGTGAGGGAGGAAAGCAGAGGGCAGGCTCTAATGAGTCTCCCCTTGCTACTAAACACATCTGAAGGTAGTAAATGCCACATAAATCTCACGGCCAGATGCATAAAAGCCTCTGAAGGATAACCCAGAGCCATTTGCAGAGAATAAAATTGATCTCAGCAAATAAAATGGTATGTTTAATCCAGTGACTCTTGGTTTTTAAAGAAGAAAAGTATTGAATGTGTCTAATTTTGAAACACCAGGACACTGAGAATCTCACAGCACTTGTTAGGCCTTAGGGACTTCACCAATTTAAAAATGTGGTGGCTGTAAACTGGCAGTCTATTTGTAGTGTTTCATCTTGGGTTTACCAAAGATGTTTTTAATTTCTCAGGTCACTAGACAAGAACTCTGAAGATTCTTTCTGCCACCCCATCTCAATATAAAGGGCTTTGTCAACACCATTTTACAGGTTCACTGGCATGTCATAGTCTCCGCTACAATGGGGCCCAAACTTGGTATTAGGGGAAGAAGGGCCAAGTTTCTACACTAGAGCAAAGGTCATTAAGTTTGGAGAAACACCTGCTGTGAAGCCAATGAAGTGGTTTGCAGCTCCCTGCAGCTTGTGCTGTGAGAAGTACATTTCCATCAGGCAACTGCAGGGAGGCCTCATTAGGAAGGCATTAGTAGGTTTGTGTGCAGAGGTGGGGAACTCAGCTATCTCATAGCAGTTCTGCCCCTTTAGAAAGCAATCACCAAGGAACAGCCTTTAATGTAATATAATCACAAGACTTTGCCATGAGGAGAGGGCTGTCCTGTTATTACTATGTTCACCTGGCAGAGTATTTAATCACAAAAGAGATAAATATGATAACCAAAATGTCTCCAAAAAATTAATTTTTAAAAAGAAGAGATAAATAAAGTACTGCAATTGTGTAATCTATTTACTCAATTGAGGTGCTAGTGCCCGTTTTGAGCACTGATAATAGATTTGTTAGTTAAAAAGGTCAGTGTTAATTGGGTTCTAAGGTAATATGTTTGAGTCATTAATAATTTTAGACTCAAAAATATGCTCTCCCAGTCTCATCTTCAGAGAGAACAGAGTCTGGAGAATGGTTCTGGTTTCTTGGTCTTTTTTTTCTCCAGACAGGGTCTCGCTCTGTTGCCCAGGCTGGAGTGCAGTGGCTCAATCATAGCTCACAGCAACCTCAAACTCCTGGTCTCACACAGTCCTGCCTCAGCCTCCCGAGTAGCTGGGAATACAGGCACGCTACCATACTCAGCACACACACCATCTTTTTTGATCATTTAAATACTTCACAAAACTCGACTTTGTCCAGAAAGTCTTTCTGGATTAACAGAAAAGAATGGCAACTTTCCATAGCTTAGCCCCATCAGCTTAGTTTTTAAAGTGAAACTTGCAACACTGCTGTCCCCAGTTGTCCCCAGTTGTGTATTTGTCTTTGTCTTTACCCTTGAAGCAGACGTACTGTGACCTGTACTGACCATCTCCAAATGTTGGACTTGGACATGGCACAGACAGCCCTCTGTATAGCGTGTGGTTCTGCTTTCATTGTTTGGGATTAGCACTGCATATAATTAGGGGTTTTGTAAGTGCTCTGCAGGCTTTTCTCAGAAATCCTTCTCACACCCAGGTCTTCCATCCTTAAGAAAAACATATTCACTGAATTTCCCTAGGATTTCTCACATTTATCTCTTAGGTACTTCTCTCTTGCTCCTTTCCTTTCCTTTTCAAAGGTTTTTTCTTCTCTGTCCCCTTACATTAGTTTCCTAGTGCTGCCATGACAAGATACTACAGACTGGATGGCTTTAAACAACAGAAATGTATTGTTCTGGAGGCTAGAAGTCCGGATCATGGTGTCTGCAAGGGCTGTGCTCTCTGATGGTTCCAGGGGAGGGTCCTTCCTTGCCTCTTGTAGCTTCTGGTGTTCCTTGGCTTGCAGCCACTTCACTCCAGTCACATGGCTGTGTTCTCTCTGTGGGTCTGTCTCTGGGTCCACATGTCTCCTTTTTATAAGGACAAGTCAAATTGGATTAGGGCCTACCCTAATAACTTCATTTTAACTTGATTTGTCTCTGTAAAGATTCTGTTTCCGGCCGGGCGCGGTGGCTCACGCCTGTAATCCTAGCACTCTGGGAGGCCGAGACGGGCGGATTGCTCGAGGTCAGGAGTTCGAAACCAGCCTGAGCAAGAGGGAGACCCCATCTCTACTATAAATAGAAAAGAATTAATTGGCCAACTAATATATATTACAAAAAAATTAGCCGGACATGTGGCGCATGCCTGTAGTCCCAGCTACTTGGGAGGCTGAGCCAGGAGGATTGCTTGAGCCCCAGGTTGAGGTTGCGTGAGCTAGGCTGACGCACGGCACTCACTCTAGCCTGGGCCAACAAAGCGAGACTCTGTCTCAAAAAAAAAAAAAAAAAAAAGATTCTGTTTCCAAATGAGGTCATATTCTGAGTTACTGGTGGTCAGGATTTCAACATATCTTTTTGGGAGAGACACAGTTCAAGCCCGTAACACCCCTCAATTCAATGCACACTGAAAGGTTCTGTCCTTGAATTCCCCAAATTGACTCACAGACCTTGTACTGAGTCACTGCTTTGTGCCAGAGTTTGTGTTCTCTGGGGCTCAAAGCAGCTCACTGTCCACTTCAGACACGCCCACACATGCTGTTAGCATTCAGGTGCCAAGTAAGAGGGGTCCCATCCTGTCTGCTGCTGCCAGGGAGAGGAGGATGGGGCAAAGCAAGATGCACACTGGGCATAGCCCTGAGCCACTTAGAGGCAGAGCCTGGTCCCTGCCTGCTCTTCCAGAGCCACCCTTAGTTGGGGCCAGGGCCAAGCTACTTTCTGCAGCAACCTGACAAATGAAATGCAATGTGACATGATAAAATGTGGAATCCAAGAGGGCCATGGAAAATAGTTTTTTATTAGGCAACAGGGCTGCCCTGTTATAATTTTGTGACTGCCATAAAACTGTTTAGGGTCCCCACAGCATGGGGATCTTTTATATTAAACAGTTTCACAAACCCCGAATGAGTTCCAGATTCTGAGACTCTGGAAATTCAGTCCCCCCTCCTTTTCTTTTAGTGGCGAAGTTTTTTCTTTGTTGAGGTATAATTTACGTAAAATAAAATGCTGTTCTCTTAAGAGCATAGTTTGATGAGTTTTGACAGTTAGAACATTTCCATTACCCCAGAAATTTTCCCAGGACCCTTTCTGGTCAGTGGCCCCCACCACCTCAGAGACAACCACTCTTCTGATTGTTATCACCATAGATTAGTATTGCTTTTAAAAAGAGTTAGAGAACAATGAAATCATATAGCATGCGTGCTTTTGTATTTGGCATATTTCTTTCAATACAGTTTTTGAGGTTCATCCATGGTTTTTGCATGGATCAGTTTTTTTCTCTTACGGAGAACTATTCCTTTGTATGGATGGTCTACAGTTTATCTTTTCTTCTGTTATGATCAATTTTGGCTATTATGAAGAAAACTACTACACGTTTTTGTACAAGTGTTTTGTGAGCATGTGCGTTCATTTCTGTTGGATGTATACCTAAGGGGTGCAATTGCTGGGCTTTACGTTGGGTGTATGTTTATTTTGTTAGGTGCTTGATAATAGCTCTTTTGAAAGAGGGGGATCAATCCCATTTGTAAGGCTCCTGTTTTCTGGTTAGCAGAGTTTTCCAAAGCTTGTTAGGTATAGCACTGTATTACTTTGTTTTAGAAGAAAATACCATTATGGCTCTGGTTCTCACTGCAGATTTGTGAATGTTCTGTGTCAGTAGTTTCCTGCTGGTCCTGGACCCTGAGCTTTTCCTGAAAGTCTTTTCTTCAGGACCTGCTCAACCGAGATTCCCTTAACATGCCGGGTCCCTAGTGTCTTTGAGTTCAAACTAGTCGGCCTCTTTGTGCTAATTGAAAAAGTGAACAGATTTGCTTGCTGGCCAGATAAGCTTCTAGTTATTCAGCAAGAGATCTGTACATTTAGTCATAATTGCCCTTTAGTTTTTAGCTGATTATTTAGTCAATGCTGTGGAATTCTGGGAGTCCTTCCAGATAATTAAGACTGTAGGCTCTAGCATGCAGTCTGCCCACTGATGATACTAGCAGGTCTCGTGGCCCAGTTCTTATGCTCACTGAGCACTCAGCTGAGCTAAGGGCTCTCATTTGGGCTCTGGAGCCTTAGTGTGTTGTTTCCTTGTAGGTCCTGTTTTGCTGCGTTCCTACTGTCTCTACGTTCTCCTGCTTGCCATCAATGGAGTGACTGAGTGCTTCACGTTTGCTGCCATGAGCAAAGAGGAGGTCGACAGGTAGGTGACCTAGAAGGTACACTTTGTTTGCTACACAGTGGTTGAGAACTAGAATCTAGACCAGCAGGTCCTAGCTCAGACTGATGAGATTCTCCTAGACCCCCTGTCCCCTCCTAGCCCACCTGAATCAGAATTTCATGTGCCACTATAATAAACTTGAGGAAAAGATAGGATAAAAAAATAAATAAAATAATAAAAAAAAAGAATTTCAGGAGGCTTGAGCCAGGGCATCTATTTTATTACACAGCTCCAGGCAGTTCTGATTCTAGGGCTGTGGAAACTGCTGTTCCAGAGCAGCTTTCCCAGTAACGACTCTGCTGAGCACTGTGACGCGGTGCGCACTTAGGGCATGTACCTGAAACAAGTGTTCACAGAGCAGGAAGTACCCTGATTCTGCACAGGACACACCGATGCCGTCTATTTTATTTTTCAAAAATGCCATGTCATAACCTACTAAATTGATTTCCCAGCCTTCTAGTAGGTCACAACTCACTGTTTTAAAATAGTGGTCTAGACCTGGTTTTCACCTCCGATAGTTAAACGTATAGCTGTGGAACTGCTTTGAGACTATCCTTTTATGCTCCCCCATGGATGAAAAGGTCTATTTAAGTTTAGCTTTGAAAATATAGCATTTTTATTTGAAAACTGCTTCTAACATTGAATAATTTAAAAATATAATTTAAAACGTGACCGGGCGCGGTGGCTCACGCCTGTAATCCTAGCACTCTGGGGAGAGATGCTGTGAGCTAGGCTGATGCCATAGCACTCTATCCCAGGCAACAGAGTGAGACTCTGTGTCAAAAAAAATAAATTAATTAATTTAAACAATAAATAAATAAAACATGCTATGTGAGGCATGGTAGCATAGCAGAAAGAGCCTGGACTAGGAGTATATCTCTTCGAAGGGACTCTTGGTACAGTAACTTTAGCATTAATGTTGAGGAATGAGGCCGGGCGCCGGTGGCTCACGCCTGTAACTCCTAGCACTCTTGGGAGGCCAAGACAGGCGGATTGCTCAAGCTAAGAGTTCGAAACCAGCCTGAGCAAGAGCAAGACCCGTCTCTACTATAGAATAGAAAGAAATGTAATTGGCCAACTAATATATATAGAAAAAACTAGCCTGGCATAGTGGTGGCATGCCTGTAGTCCCAGCTACTCGGGGAGCTGAGGCAGCAGGATTGCTTGAGCCCAGGAGTTTGAGGTTGCTGTGAGCTAGGCTGATGCCATGGCACTCGTTCTAGCCTGGGCCAACAAAGTGAGACTCTGTCTCAAAAAAAAAAAAATGTTGAGGGGTGAGTCAACACTAAACCCATTTAAAATGTTAAAAAAAAGAAACTTGCAACCAAATTATGAGGTAATATAGACAGTGGCTGGTTGCTTGCTTTCTTCTACTATTGCCTTGAACCAAAGGAAACAACTTTTTCAGTCATTTGTGCTGGAATTTTGATGCTATATAGACATCTATAACAGGCATCCTCAAACTATGGCCCACGGGCCACATGCAGGTGTTTTTGCCCGTTTGTTTTTTTACTTCAAAATAAGATATGTGCAGTGTGCATAGGAATTTGTTCATAGTTTTTTTTTAAACTATAGTCCGGCCCTCCAATGGTCTGAGGGACAGTGAACTGGCCCCCTGTTTAAAAAGTTTGAGGATCCCTGATCTAGAAAATTATTTTTATGGTATTAGTCAACATAGAAAAAAACAGAGCTACAGTACTTTCTAATACAGTTCTCATCTGAGGTAACCCAAGGGTGGGAGGATCGCTCAAGGTCAGGAGTTCGAAACCAACCTGAGCAAGAGTGAGACCCCGTCTCTACTAAAATAGAAAGATATTAATTGGATAATTAAATTCATATAGAAAAAAAAAATAGCCACGCATGGTGGTGCATGCCTGTAGTCCCAGCTACTCGGGAGGCTGAGGTAGAAGGATTGCTTAAGCCCAGGAATGTGACGTTGCTGTGAGCTAGGCTGATGCCATAGCACTCTATCCCAGGCAACAGAGTGAGACTCTGTGTCAAAAAAAATAAATTAATTAATTTAAACAATAAATAAATAAAACATGCTATGTGAGGCATGGTAGCATAGCAGAAAGAGCCTGGACTAGGAGTATATCTCTTCGAAGGGACTCTTGGTACAGTAACTTTAGCATTAATGTTGAGGGAATAGGCCGGGCGCGGTGGCTCACGCCTGTAATCCTACACTCTTGGGAGGCCAAGACAGAGCGGATTTGCTCGAGCTAAGGAGTTCGAAACCAGCCTGAGCAAGAGCAAGACCGTTTCTACTATAAATAGGAAAGAAATTATTGGCCAAACTAATTATATGAAAAAACTAGCTGGATGGTGGTGCATGCCTGTAGTCCCAGCTACTCGGGAGGCTGAGGCAGCAGGATTGCTTGAGCCCAGGAGTTTGAGGTTGCTGTGAGCTAGGCTGATGCCATGGCACTCGTTCTAGCCTGGGCAACAAAGTGAGACTCTGTCTCAAAAAAAAAAAAATGTTGAGGGGGTGAGTCAACACTAAACCCATTTAAAATGTTAAAAAAAAGAAACTTGCAACCAAATTATGAGGTAATATAGACAGTGGCTGGTTGCTTGCTTTCTTCTACTATTGCCTTGAACCAAAGGAAACAACTTTTTCAGTCATTTTGTTGGACTTCCTCTTAAAGCATGATGTGACTTTGAGCTCAATCTTCAGACATGTATAAAACACAATAGCTCCAGTTCTATCTGGGCCCCCAGTGTTGGTCTGAGCACATGAAACGCCTGGGCTTATCACGGAGCCCGGCATTTTTTCCAGCCCTGTGTGTTTAACCAGACATAAAACTCTAACAAGGATTTTTATAGTAGAATAAATAGTTTAGTTAAATGTTACAATCGATTATAATGACTTTACATTGGACATTTCAGGTTCTGAATGGAAAAAAAAGTATTGATAACAACATGGGTTTTTACTTAACCATCTTCATGTTAACTAATGTTTTTTTAAATAAAAATAGAGCATTTGGTTGGATATGAAATATTAGAACATCCTTTGAATTGCAAGTTGCTCTTTTCTTAAAAAAATAATCTCATATATGGAATCTGATTGATGGATTTTTCATTATGCCCTATTGAATTTTCTATTTTCTTAAGGCTGTCTCCTTTTCTTTTGCTCATTTGACACATAATTTTGAACATCTGTTCTCTAACAGGCATTGTTTTAAGCTCTAGAAATACAGCAATGAACAAGACAGATGTGATCCCTGCTCTTCTGGCATTGGCAGTGGAGGAGGCAGATAGCAAACAAGTAAATTAATAAGAAAATGTTTCAGACAAGACCATAAGACACACAAAAAAATATATAAGGAAATGTGCTGATAAATAAAACAGAGTTAGATAGTGAGCAGTAGGTATCCTTTAGATTGTGTAAGCTGGGCAGGCTCCTATATCACAGTGGCATTTAAGCTGAGGCCTAGATGACCAAGAAGATGGTCAAAGATGGGGGCAGGCCAGGCGTGGTGGCTCACACCTGTAATCCCAGCACTTTGGGGGGCCAAGGCAGGAGGATCACTTAAGGCCAGGAGTTCCAGACCCCATCTCTACAAAAAATAAGAAAAATTAGCCAGGTGTGGTGGTGCATGCCTGTAGTCCCAGCTACTCAGGAGGCTTAGGTAGGAGGAGCCCAGGAGTTCAATTTGCTTGAACCCAAGAGTTCAAGATTGCAGTAAGCTGTGATGAAGCCACTGCACTCTAGCCTGGATAACTGAGCAAGATCCTGTATCAAAAAAAAAAGATAGGGCAGAGCCTTCCAGGCAGAGGGGTGAGTAGTGCAAAGGCCCAAGTTGACAGCTCCTTTGTCTGATTTGTTGGCTCTTGAATGCCATCACTGCCTTCATAGTCAACAAAGGATAATCTTTCACTTTGGCACTTAAGAGATCAGTGCCATCTTTTTCATGGCTGCAAAGGCAATATTATATGGCCATGCCTTGATGCATTCACCTGGCACCCACTGGGGGATGCTTCAGTTGGTGCTACAGTTGGGATCCTTGACCATTCATCTTTTAATAAGTCTGATTTTAAGTCCCAAGTCATCTTTGGACTGTGGAAAAATAAGCATTCATAAATAATTTACTGTTTATGTTAACAAAGCCTTATAAAATAGTCATATTATCACTTATTAATCATTTTGCTTTGATTTAAAAGTAGTATTTTAATTGCATCTTTAAAATTCTCATTTTTTTCCTGAAGTAGATTATGCCCTTATAGCTATAGATTTGTGAATTTTGGAAAATTCAACAGCTGCAGAGCCCTCTTCTAGTGACAGACAGTGGACCTGTCATTATCAGCTTCTCCCAAATGGCCATACCAAAGAGGCTGCACTGTTGAATGCATCTCTGCTTGAATTAGCACGAATTAGCTATTGGTGGCCTGACAAGAGGCCTGTTTGCCGTTCTGTGGCAAACATATCTTTGCTCTTACTCTGCAAACCTATATTTTGCTCTTGCTCTGTAAACCTATCTTGTCCTTCCTCAATAAACTTCATTTCATGCTTGCAAAAATAATTAGCTATTAGTTTCATTCATTATTGTCATTTTACTTGAAGTTGGGTGAGAATGACTTTGAAAATTTGTGAATCTGTGGCTTAAACTCCAAGAATTAGTGTAGTAGACCTTTCTGAAATAGTTTCTGAAAAAATAACAGATTAAATATCTGCCTCTTTTTGAAAAAGAGGTCAAAGTACTGGTCTATGATGGATCCTACTTCAGTGGCTTGTTATGAAGTTGGCCATTCTGATTACTGATTAACAGTGAAAACACTGCCCCTATGTGGATGTGGACTATTGTGTTTCTATTGCTTATGAAAGGAAACTATCTCTGGACTAAGAAGTAAATAAACTCCCTCTCTGGAATCCTGGATGAAAGCACACCTCCCCTGTTGAAGTATAATATTATGTGTGTTTGTGTGTGGTATTATTCTTACCACCCACTTTGATAAAGTATATCTGCATAGAACCTTGAGATTCATCAGCCTAAGGACCTATACCTGGGCCTTTAGTGGAAACAGTGGCTTTCTCACCATCCCTCATGTGCAGAACCTGGGTGGTGGCCTCTGAGGTTACCTAACCTAGCAGACACAGCTTGGGAAGAGTTTGGTTCCCTCAACAACTATATACTTAAAAAAAAAATTTTTAAGAGATGGGGTCTTGCTATGTTGCCCAGGCTGGTCTTAAACCAGGCTGGCTCAAGTGATCCTCTTGCCTCAGCCTCACGAGTAGCTGGGACTACAGGTGCGGGCCACCATGCCCAGCTTACAACTCTATACTTAGAGTGCCTGCTGTGTGCTAGGCAGAAACCAGTGTGGGGAATTTTGTTCATGGCTATACCATAAGCCTTTTGGAGGACCATGGCAGCTATTTTATGTTTACTGAGACTCAGTTTCCATTGCGGAGAACTGAAAATAACTAAGTGATATGCTGCTTCCACTTGGCTCCAGGACCCGAAGAGCTCTAGAGATACGGGGAGCAGGAGGGAAGATGTGTAAGAGTATGTATGGAAAACACCAAAGGCGATCCAGGCTTTGGTCCCAGTTCACATTTCGTTTTGGAGGCCACTTACTTGCTTGAGTGAAGTCCAGTGCCTAAGGTCACTGGTGCTGCATTTCCCAGGGAAGCAGCATGAGGTGCTGAAGCCTAGGGGCCAGGAGTCGGGCTGGAGTGCTGCCTTGCTCCTTACACAAATTACTCAGCCTCTCTGTGTTGGTCCCATGTCTGTGGCACAGATCCAAGCTCCACAGGGTAAGGGGCATGTGTGTTCATTCACCAGTGTGTCCCCAACACTACTCACAGGGCTTGTCACAGAGTTAGCATCCAATATATAATTATTACCCAGGTCACATTCTTGTGCCTCACATTGGAGATGAGCTGAACAGGATTTTTATGTATTTTGATCACAAAATATCACTTCACCAATTATTATTTTTAAAAAACATAAATATCTTGAGTTTATTTTCTTACTCTTCTGTGCAGAGGTCAAAGGGACAGAGAGTTTCCATGTTAATTCATGTAGCATCCCAGGTTATGAAAGCCTGGATTATGGGAATTCAGCTGGAGTTATAGGAACTCCGTTTCTTTCTGTGAGTTGATGTTCATGGCCACTTTCTTTGCAGCAATCTTGTCTTGGGGCAGGGTACCCACTATCTGGTTTATCTCCGTCTCCCCAGGTACAATGTCACGATGCTGGCCCTGTCATCCTCATTCCTGGTGTTGTCCTGTATCCTGACCCATTGGTGTGGCAGCGTGGGCTTCATCCTGGCCAACTGCTTTAACATGGGCATTCGGATCACACAGAGCCTTTTCTTCATCCACCGCTACTACCGAGAGAGCCCCTATAGGCCCCTGGCCGGCCTGTACCTGTCACCGGTCCTCCTTGGGGTGTTTGCCCTCAGTGGTGGGATTACTGGTGTTTCGGAGGTGAGACTTCCGGCAGTTTTCATACCACATGCTTCTGGGAGCCGTCCCACTGTCCCTCCCCTAGGCCTTCTTGCCCTGCCTAAACCAGCTGGACACATGTTTCCCTCCTCTTATCGCTTCCTCAGGCCTTCAGGTCAGCATCTTATGGTAGATGTGACAGAAGAATGTTTCTGATGGGGAGAGTGTAGACCCACAGTATGTAGTTGCCATGCCTTTTATCTGAGCTGGAGTCTGGAACTATAGCTGCCTTCCCTGGCTTGTCCCGGAGGAAGGAGGTGGAGACTGAGGAGTGGGCACTAACGATGGCTTCTCTCCCCAGGTCCTCCTCTGCTGTGAGCAAGGCTGGCCAGCCCGGCTGGCCCACGTTGCCGTGGGGGCCTTCTGTTTGGGAATGACTCTCGGAATAGCATGCCTCACGGAGACCAAGCTGGTGCATTTTCTCAGGACTCAGTTAGGAATGTCCAGACTCACTGACAAAACGACATGACTTCTCAGGTGTTTGACGCCTGTGGCACCAGGACCAGCCGTGGGCGATTCTGTGGGCGGAACACATGTTCTGCGTAAAAGCGCTCTGGGGGCTCTGAGGTGGAATGAGGGCGACCCAGGAGGTGAGATGTCAGAGAGAACTGCTGATGAAACACTTGCCATCCATTTGACGTCCCAAGCGTGAAGGATGAGACTCATTTTGAAGTGAAGACCAAAAAGCCCTTTAAAAATAGATAAGACTTCTTTCATCATTTTTAATCAGCATTGTCTTTTTTTATTAAAAATGTATTAATTCCTTTTGGATGTGATTGACCTTTGGAGCTACGTGCTCCAACAAACTGTATCTTAGATGTTAATAGTTAACAATCATCTGGCCAAGAAGAAGAGATGTAGCCATCAGGAATATTTCATTTCTTCTGTGAAAGAAGGAAGGAGACAGGTTATTCACCAGACAAGAACGAAGTGCGGCCCTGGAGTTGTGGCTTTCCCCACGCCCACACCGTGGTCTGAGTCTTTGGAGAAGGAAAAATGTTACTCAGCGACATATCCAAGAATTGAGATCATGAAGCTGTCCCATCGTATTTCCCAGAGCAAGTTAGGGAGAGTGTCACCTGTCATGGTCCCACTGTGTCCCCCAGGCCAGCCTTACCCAGAGCAGGCCCTCGGGATTTGTTGGTTGAAGGGTGGGTGAAAGCTGGGTGGAGACTCCTGGTCTGGCCACCTGACAGAGGGGACTCTGAAGGACACTGATCCAGTGGGAGCTGCTTTGTCCCTTGAAGGGAGCACTGCTTTGCAGCTTCTGTGACTTCTCACGTGGAAATTGCACAGACAACAACTAAGGTCGAACCGATGTATCTCTTTGTCCTCAGAATAAGACAGGGTAAATTTTATATGGCAAGTATTGCTGAGTCAGGCCCCTTCCACTGACCCAACACTGGTCAGTACAACGGAATTCCAGCCCCAAGACAAGAGTGACAGGCTGGGGGGTGGTCCTCCAAGCTGCAGTGTGAGCCCAGGCTCTCTGCACCTTGCACCCTGTAACCTGCAGGTGAGATCATCGAGCATTGTTCCAGTGTGGTAAAGTGTTTTCCTTTTTTCATCAATGTATTAATTCCTTTTGGATATGATTGCCCTTTAGAACTATATACACAAACTATATCTTTTTTTTTTTTTTTTTCTGAGACAGAGTCTCACTCTATTGCCTGGCTAGAGTGCCGTGACATCAGTCTAGCTCACAGCAACCTCCAACTCCTGGGCTCTATATTTTTAGTTGGCCAATTAATTTCTTTCTATTTTTAGTAGAGGTGGGGTCTCACTCTTGCTGAGGCTGGTTTCGAACTCCTGACCTTGAGCAATCCTCTCGCCTCGGCCTCCCAGAGAGCTAGGATTACAGGTATGAGCCACCACGCCCGGCCTATATCTTGAACATTAATATTAATAGTTAATAATCCTCTGGGCAATGTCCCCAAACCTTCCATGTCTACACTCGGACATGGGTGTAAGGGCACCCATGTAAAGGCACATGCCAGTAAGGGCAACTCATATCGTGCATTAAAATGTATACATTTAAATCTACTTGCCAAGGGGCCAAGGATCAAGACCTACCAGCACCCCAAGACTGGGGCCCAGTCACCTTGGCATGTTTTTATCTACTCAGAGGGGGAATGCTCTGCACTAGCTGGGGGGAAAGTAGCTAAATGCAAGGTGGCCCGAACAATCACAGACCCTCCAATAGTGTGGCCTCTGTCATGCTTTTGTAGGGCAGGATCAGGCTAACTCAGAAAAATGGAATGTCCCCTGGGGTCAGGTGGGCAGCACACACAGAAGGCAGGCAAGCCCACGTGACTGTGGTGCCCCAAGGCTGGTATGCCCCTTCGTCCTCCTGAGCAGCAGGCCCAGGACCCATCATGTGTGTGGCCCCCAGCACCTGTTCTCCGCTCCAGGAATAGAGCTGCTGTTGCACGAGCAGCCTTGTGACTTCCAAGGCTTTGGGAGCAGGACCTCAAGGGTCTCATGTCTTATGGCAGTGCTCACTTTCTCATCTCTTCCCTGCTGTCCACTGGAGGGCTGCTGTCAGGGCAGATCCTCTTGAAAGATGACCAGCTGGGACAGCAGCCTGGGGCTCCTTCTCATGTCCTATTTCCCTGATTATAGGAAGAATAGTGCCCATAGCCACATGTTTTCCCATTACTAGTTCCTGCCTCCTGGGCTGTCAACACTTTGGCGACAGGCCCTCTGCTGCTCTCTGCCCTTGGCTGCCTCCCTGAAGTTCAGTTGCCCCTAAACAGGCCTCTGGTACTTTCCCCTGCTGGTGCCCTAGAGCTACCCCTGTTAGCTCAGGGCGCTTGTATACACGCAGGCCAGGCTGCCTCACTGTACCCAAGAAGGATTTTGTGGGGAAATCACACTTGTGGCTTTATGTACCCCTTAAAATATCATGAGGCTACTTCTCCATGGAAACAGGTCTGTAAGGCACATCCTTTTATGAAAGAAAGAGCCTCTGGTGGTGAAAATGACAATTGCTGACTTTCTGTGTTCCTCTGGCTACGTAAGTGTTGGTCACTTCAGACTTGGCCTGGGTTCCCTCAGCAAGGCGATACTGCTGTGCTGTGGCAACTCCTGGCTCGGGAGGTGCTGTCTGTTCTGCCCTGTTCCCAGCTACCTCACAGCCCAATTCAAGTAGGGCTTTTCCTTCCGTCTTTTTTCTTTAATCATATATTCCTGTTGCTAGTTTCACATTAGTCCCCTTGTTTAAAAAAGACTAAATTATTTTCTTCACTTTTTTTTTGAGACAGAGTCTCACTCTGTTGCCCAGGCTAGAGTGCTGTGGCGTCAGCCTAGCTCACAGCAACCTCAAACTCCTGGGCTCAGGCGATTCTCCTGCCTCAGCCTCCCGAGTAGCTGGGACTACAGGCATGCGCCACCGTGCCCGGCTAATTTTTTCTATTTTTAGTAGAGACAGGATCTCGCTTTGCTCAGGCTGGTCTCGAACTCCTGAGCTCAAACAATCTTCCTGCCTCAGCCTCCCAGAGTTTAGTTTGCTAGGATTACAGGCGTGAGCCACCGCACCCGGCCTTTCTTCACATTTTTATAAAGATTTTTCTTGTTTTGTACCCCTCGTCCAGAAAGGAAAAGAAATCTTAAATTTCATAAGGAAGGTGGACAAATAGCTTGAGTATGTGAACTTGTGTTCCTGGTTGGAGCATCTCTCCCTGCGTTGCCTCGTGACTGGGACCGGGACCCCCGACTCTGGAAGGAGGGCGCGTCCTGCCTGTGCCACAGCCTCCGGTGCCCGCCACTGAGAGGCCTGGCGTCTCCTCCTCCCTTCCCGCCCAAGCAGTGTTTCCCGTCGTCTGTTGGACTTTTCTCTCTCTTACCTTCTCAGTCTGGCCTGGTCCTCGTTGTGTTCGTTTCTGCTTTTTTAAGAGACGGGTCTCACTCTGTTGCCCAGGCTCGAGTGTAGTGGTGCAATATCATAGTTCACTGTGTTTTCAGACTCCTGGGCTCAACCCATCTTCCTGCCTCGGCCTCCAAAGTCCTGGGATTACGGGCATGAGCCCGCACCTCTGGCCTCATTTTCTAAATTAAATAACCATTCCTTGACTAGCCATTCCAGGACTTGTTTCGGTAAAGAGTAGGGCGGGTGATTTTAGGGGGTCTAGGACAGCCTCTTCATCCTTATATCTTCCTCAATAGGTCGTAGAATTTCTTTTCACTTGATGTAAAGGCTGTTATTCCAGAATTCTGGAATTCAGATCCCTCAGTGACTTGTTCACACTAAGATGTAAAATAACCCCTTCAAGGCCGGGCGCGGTGGCCCACGCCTGTAATCCTAGCACTTTGGGAGGCCGAGGCGGGCGGATTGCTCAAGGTCAGGAGTTCGAAACCAGCCTGAGCGAGACCCCGTCTCTACTATAAATAGAAATAAATAATTGGACAACTAAAATATATATACAACAAAATATTGCCGGGCATGGTGGCGCATGCCTGTGAGTCCCAGCTACTCGGGAGGCTGAGGCAGGAGGATCGCTGAGCCCGGAGATTGAGTTGCTGTGAGCCAGGCTGATGCCACGGCACTCACTCTAGCCTGGGCAACAAAGTGAGACTCTGTCTCAAAAAAAAAAATAAAAAAAAAAAAACCCCTTCAAGGATTCTTTCCTGGGCCAGAGCGGTGGCTCACGCCTGTGATCCTAGCACTCCGGGAGGCCGAGGCGGGTGGATTGTCGAGGTCAGGAGTTCGAAACCAGCCTGAGCGAGACCCTGTCTCTACTAAAAATAGAAAGAAATTAATTGACCAACTAAAAATATATATACAAAATATTAGCCAGGCATGGTGGCGCATGCCTGTAGTCCCAGCTACTTGGGAGGCTGAGGCAGAAGGATTGCTTGGGCCCAGGAGTTTGAGGTTGCTGTGAGCTAGGCTGATGCCACGGCACTCACTCTAGCCTGGGCAACAAAGTGAGATTCTATCTCAAAAAAAAAAAAAAAAAAAAAAGGATTCTTTCCTGAGCAGCTTTTGATGTTGAGGGAGGGATAGGAGCTGGAAGCATCCAGAACCTGAAGGAAGAGGACTCAGTTGAGAGAGAGGCTGGGCAGGCCCAGAGGTTGGTGCCCTGAGTGCTGCTGTGTGGCCTCTGGGGTATTTGGAGTTCGGTTCCAGTGGGGGAAGTCAGGCTTGGAAGAGCCAGGCCTGAAACTGTGTGTACCTGGGGTGGGGACTAGAAAAGAGAAAGCATCCAAGCAGGGGAAACCCTTCACATACTCACAAACTCCTGCTCTCCAGGGAGGCCAGGCCAGAGGCAAAGGGGGTGAACCTCTGGTATTGATGGCAGAGCGAGACAAGTGTGCAGGGTGCTTGCTAGTGAGGAGAAATCCCCCAGCAACATGGTCTTGAGAACTCTTGGGAGCTGACCCATGGGCTCAGGAAGCTGCTTGTACAAGGTCCTCAGTGGCCCTAAGGGAGAATTCTGGAAGGCAGACTGGAAGCCAGGAGGCCTGTGGAGCCTGTCAGAAAGGACCAGATTTGGAAAGATAATGAGCTAAGGCCCAAGTATCAGGGGACCTCTAGGAATTTCTCTAAGACAATGAAACACAAGGAACTGGAAAGAGACTGAACAAGGACGCTACTCTAAAACATGGCTCTTATTTGCTGGATATTCCATGAGTGTCCAGGAATTAACTGAGACTTGTGTATTTCATTTGGAAATGTGACCTCTGAGCCAATCAGATACAGATGAAAAATGACTTGTTTTACTATTATCTGCTGTACCTGAGTGAATTAGCCCTTAATGTTGTA